TTTTAGCTGAATGCTTTTTCAACACTATTTTATGTAAACTTATGCACAGTTGCATTTTTTCCATTAAGGAATTGGAGTATTAGTTGACATCATTTATGAGATATTAACTAATAATAAGTCTAAAAATATTTTATTCTTAAGCCTTCTATTAGAGTTCATCGACAGCAGTGATTTGGCCAGTTCATTTGGATGATTTTCTAGTTTGTACTTGTGATTAATACCAAATCTACTGACATTTTTATTCACTGTAAATGTGTTTGTTTTTTATATATCAACGTTATCTATATTTATATTATATATCAGCTCGAGGCATAACTAGGACCACCTCTAGAGCATTTCCAAGACTTTTCTGGAATTATGGATGATGTTTCTGATGCTTTCACGCGCATTACCCCAAAGTACTATGCCGTATGTCCAAACATTGCTTTAATAACTTTAAACATTTATTTTCTCAGAGATAAACACATTGATACTATCACAAAAGCAGCTTATAAATTAAGCAATCATCTATTGGATATTGTGAATGCAACCAAGATTTACACAATGGTACCATCATGGGGTTACAAGGATCCAAATTCTGTAGGAGGATGGAACGGAATGCTTGGACAATTGCATCGAGGAGAAGCAGATATAGGTTTATAATTATTTAATAAATATTACATTACTATTTATCTCTAGCAAATTATTATTATTAGGTACTATATAAAAATACACATTTCTTTGTAGGTACTCCATTATTTTTGACTACTGATCGAGTGTCATTAATTGAATATATATCTATGACCACACCGACCCAGGCAAGATTTGTGTTCAGGGCTCCTCCTTTAAGTTATGTCCAAAACTTATATCTTCTTCCATTTGATCGAGGTGTATGGCTCGCTAGTCTGATTTTTATCCTTTTAATGATATTTGTTATTAGTTGTACATCAATGCTAGAAACAGATGTGAGTACAGAGGTATCTTTATAATCAATTAATTCTTAATAAGAAGAATATATTCTAGGAGAATACAGGAGTTTGGATAACAGTAAGCAATTCTTTCCTATTGTCATTGGGAGCAATATGTCAACAGAGTCCCCCTAAAAGTCCAAGATATCCTGCAGGAAGAATAGTTACTTTATTTTTATTTGTGGCTGTTATGTTTCTATATACTTCATACACCGCTAATATAGGTAAGTAACTTAATAAAACTATGTAATTAAATAAACTTGCTACTCTTTCCAGATTCGATAATTTTGTTCATCATAGTCAAAATATTTTTTTATATTGATCAACATTTCAAGCTGACTCTCGGCAGAGAGCATTGTTTTTGAATTTTTAAAATTTTTAACATTGTTTATAATTTTTTTTAATACTTTTTCGTTAATTTAATGACAATGCTAGCAGAAAACTTCCAAATATTTTTTAAATTTTCAACTCACAATGGCTAGTACTGCCTTATATTTAGAGCAGGTGGGTGAGTTGAGTTAAACTCTAACTCGATTGAAGGAAAACTAGTGTGAAAGATTTCCCATTGACGTCTCACATCGCAGTGCTCGAAATGGGCTATTTTCAATTGGAAACATATTTATAACTTTCCGTATGGTAAGTTATAGTAATGACCGAAAATCGAAAAAGAAAATTTATGCATATCTTCACGTTTCAAAGGTTTCTGAACATTTTGGCATACCTTAGAAAAATTGATGTGTGTGTGTGTGTTTATGTGTGGATACATTTTTCTGTCGACGATTTCGGGCGCACGGATCAACGGATTTGAATGACTAAAAAAATATTCGATTCTTATTGATGGGGAGACGTGCTGATTAGTTTTTGGCATACGAAACAAAGATTGCAGAAAATAGAGATCGAGTTCTTGAGAGAACGGAGTATCCGATTTGGATGATCGAAAAAAAAATAATTCGTACTGAAGGAAAGAAGTGGTGATTAGTTTTTGGCAAAGACAGATCCAGTCATTTTGGAGATACGGAGCTAAATGTGCAAAAAATGTCAGTTTTTGAGAGAACACAGCATCCGATTTGAGTGATTCAAAAAACCCTGTTCTCGTGTTGACGAAACAATTATTTTTGAATTTTTTTTTTAATTTTCAATTGTTTTTTTTAATATCAAAAATAATTCGGAATTTACTTCTAAATCTAGCTGAAATTCTAAAAAATTCTAGAAAATTGCAAAGAATGGTTTGATCATATGTTCAAACTTTAAATAATAATAAAGTCAAACCGTAATGTTTAATTTTTAAACAAATCTGTTGCAACTCATGTTTATTAATTAAACAAAATTAATATTTTTGAATAATGTTTTTTTTCAAACCAAGTTTGAATTATGAAGAAAAACTGGCCAACGGTCTTTTGAAAACACAAATACTCTCTGAAATGCTTGGCTGATTCATTTTATAGACTAATAAAACTACTATGATATCTTATCGATATCTCTCTAAAAATAATTAATTTTTCAAAAACAACTAGAGTATTTTACTATCTTTTAAGTAAACTTAGAAATAACTGATATTTTTCTATGTTAATTAAAAAAAACTGTTCTATAGATCAACAGAAATCTAATAATCAAAAAGTCTCTGCAAGTAGGATTTTCGTTTGGTAACCAAATATAATATATACCTTCCGGAAATCAATAAAAATTACTTTTGACAGAATATCTTTCATACATATTTTTATGATTTATAATAGAATACCAACCACTTTTGCAAAAGAATTGTTTCTATGGCCTTATTTCAAATAGCTATGCATTATCCCAATACATTTATATTATAACTATTTATGAATACAACACAATACACAATATACAATACACAATACACAATATTTTATATAAAATTATTATAATATTAATTACTATAATATATTTTATTAGTATCTTTGCTGCAAGCTCGAACCTACAGTATCAGAACACTCAAAGATTTACTCAAATCTCCATTAAAAATCGGAGTTGATGACATTGTTTATAATCATTACTACTTTTCGGTAAAAATTCAAAATTGCAATTATTTTTGGTCTTACTTAGATTTGGTCTTAACTATAGTAGTTAATAAGGTCATATTTGTAGACAGCAACTGATCCAGTTCGGAAGGAAATTTATGAGAAAAAAGTTGCTCCGAAAAATAAAAAACCAAACTTTTTCAGCCAGCAAGATGGTATTAATAAAATGAGACAGGTAAGAGTACAAGCATTTATATTCTGTTTTTTTTTTTAGAAAATTACATTTTTTTTATGAATAGGGTTTATTTGCTTTCCATATGGAACGTGGTGCCGGATACAAAGTTGTATCAGAAACATTCTACGAAGATGAAAAGTGTGGTCTAATGGAAATAGATTTTTTGAAGTTCAATGATCCATGGATGCCGGTGCAGAAACGTTCTCCATACAAGGAAATCTTCAAAGTAAAGTTAGTATAATATTGAGATTGATGAAATTTTATTATATTTTATTACATTTAAGTAAAGTATGACTAAGTTTTGTATCCTTTTGAAACTGTAGGAGAAAATATGCGTTTGAAATATATTTTTGATCCAAAACTAATTTAGCTATGTAACCAAAAGATTCGGTTGGTATTAACTTCCTAAAGAAAAAGTTTATGTATTTGACGAAAAATTCAATTTACTATTTTCTTGATCTCTCAAGTCATTCTGAATCAAATCAAAATTGGATAAACTATATTTGTACCATCTGAAGTTGCTAAATCTCAATAATTATTCATTTTTTAAGCATACTGGGAACGAACGACTTACACCTAGTACCTATATTTATTCTCCATTGATGAAATTTATCTTTAGTTTTTAAATCAACGACTATAAATAGTGGCATTATGCCTTAAGGCAAACTGCAAGAAATTTTCGATAGGTATAAACATAAAACACTGAATAAATAGCAATTGAGATTAAGGTAATTAAGTTGTGCAATTGCTTTTTTGGAAATATATTTTTTGCTTTTCCTTGAATCTAAATAATGCGATTTTTTTATATCTTTTAAACATGCTTATTATATCTGTAATTGTATAAATTAAATTAATTTGCTTAACACGTAATGTATTTTATTTGAATGTGGACGTCAACTGTAATCAGTAGATATCTACGAAACATGAAACGTACATATTTGCTTGGCATATATTCTGATCAGAATCTTTTTTCCAAACTTTGATGATTTTTTATAATTCAATTGCTTTTTGTAGGCTGTTTGTAGGCTTATAATATTTCAGTAGAACATTTTTATATATTTTATTTACGTTTCGAAGGTTTGCGAACATTTTGGAATACCTTAGAAAAATGGATGTATTTGTGCGTGTGTATGTGTGAGTGCGTGTGTGTGTATGTGAGTGCGTGTGTGTATGTATGTATGTGCAGATACAATTTTTCGTCGACGATTTCGAGAACACAGATCAACCAATTTGAATGATTCAAAAAACAATCGATTCCTATTGATAAAGAGATATGCTGATTAGTTTTTGGAAAAGGCAGGTACAGTTATTCCAAAGATACTGGACAAAAAGAGCGTCCCATTTGAATTTGAAGTCCGATTTTGAAGAGCTGAGGAAATTTTTGGGAAGACAGGTCTAGCGGTTTCGGTGATCTAATAAAAAAAGTGAATAAAAATGCCATTTGGCGGATTAAAATGATCATTAGACATATGCCCATCAAATTATCATATATTTTACAGATATTTTAATAATGAAAACATTTTTTTTTACATTTCTATGGGTTCCGTACCAATGTTTATTCGTTATACTGCAATGCGGCGCCCACGCGCATCTATATTTTGTTTCTCCGCAGCCGTTAGCTTTTGCGATTTTGCAATTCCAAAATACTTCAAAGTATAAGAAAATCAAATTTTTCACAAAGGTCATTTTTTTTGAAAATTTTTAAAAATTTCCTTAAGCCCTAACGATGCAATGCATCTCTAGTTCAACTTTGGCCTCATGCGATCAGAATGACTTGAAATGTCGAAAACACATCAAATTGGCATTACGGTTACGGATTTTCTGGTATAAGCATATATTATCCTTCGAGAAGTTAAAAATATTATCGTAAATAAACTATAATCCATCGAACAATATAAAATTAATATTTCCACAATGCAAAATTATCGAACCATTAACCTTTCCGTAACGCGGCATTGTTTCATTAGTGCTACCTGGAGGAAAACACATCGTGCCTGCATTTTGCAACTTGTTACAAAATCCATCCGTGGAGCAACATGCATAACGATATCCAACCGTTGCTCGAGCGTGGTGCAACCGGCCTTGGATAGCACCTAATATAACTTTTATACATTAATTAATTCACGAATGTGTATTTTAGCATGTTCAAAATACGAGAAAGTGGAATACAATCTCGTGAAATAGCACTGCATTACACCAAGAAACCAGTTTGCACTACTGGGGGTGCTAGTTTCGTTAGCGTGGGATTAGTCGACTGCTACTTCGCAGGATTTCTACTCGCTGCCGGAATTGCGATCTCTATATGTATATTAGTGATTGAATTATTGAGTGGTTCGTGCCGAATCAAAACTGATGATGTCAGGTGAGATAACGAAAAAATATGTTACACTCATCTTGTATTTCGTCAATGATTTGTTGCCTATTTCAGTCAAAATAGTGAACTAACAACTAATGACACAAACAGAGTAAATGAAAATATACATTTTTTGGAATGAGAATGTAGTATTAAAAGATAAAATATTTCAAGAATAAATAAATAACCATGTACTAGCTGGCATATTTTTAGATGATATAATAAAAAAATATTTTTAAAATTCATTAAATATTAGAGTTTTATAAATGTTAATACTCGGTGTTCTGCACTCATAGATAAGAAAAAAATATATCAAGTTTGCAAAGTACAGTTATTTTTTATATTTTATATTGTATTCATTATTTTGTACATATTATATTATATTGAATTTTTTTATTATATTTTTTCCTATAAGATGTTGGTCTGAAGCTTCTCCTTACGTCGTATTTTTAGATGGTAGCTCAACGGTTAATCCATATTTGATTATTAACTTCCCTTAGGGTGAGTTATAGTAATGGGCCGAAAATTGAAAATGCTACCATGGATAAAAACCCAGCGTTTTAAGTCGTTCTGAATCGTTTGATGCAAAAAATAAAAAAGTATGTATGTGTGTAGGTGAGCTAAAATAGGATAATTAGGCAACATTTTCTCAAAAAGTGCTGTCAACTTTATTTAAAAACTCATATTGATTAGTTTTGTATATCTTCATGTTTCAGAAGTTTTTGAACATTTTGGCATACCCTAAAAAAAATGGATGTGTGTGTGTATGTGTATGTGTGGAGACAATTTTTTGTCGACGATTTCGGGCGTACGGATGGACCGATTTGAAAAATTCTAAAAGCAATCGATTCCTATTGATAGGGAGATATGCTGATTAATTTTTGAGGAAGACAGGTCCAATGGCTTCCGAGATATGAAGCAAAAAGTGCTAAAAAAAAGTCAGTTTTTAAGAGAACGGATCAATCGATTTGAATGATCTAGAAAACGTTTGATTCGTAATGATGGGAAGAAGTGGTGATTAGATTTTTGCAAAGGCAGGTCCAGTCGTTACTAACTCAATGTGTCCACCTAAATGTTCAAGAAATGGCGGTTTTTGAGATCGCAATTCAGCGTATCAATCAATCAGCAAGCATCCAATTTAAATGACTCAAAAAACTTTATGATTGTATTGACGAAACGATTACTTTTGTGAAAAGAATTTTTTTTATATCATTTTTTCAATTTTTATTCTAGCTAAAATTCTAAACATCATTTATATAATTCAAATGAATGATTTTAACAATTCAGTTCATATAATACTTAGAAATAGAAGACAATGTTCTTCATTTTAAATCCGATTGATTAAGTTTTGTTTATTTACTTTTTATAAAATAAGAATAATGAAAGTTACATTATTTATAATAAGCTATTTGAAAACATTCAATATTTCTAGAATATTTTTTTAAGATACGGGAATTTCCAGCAATTTGCCTTAGGGCACGATGCTACACACCACTAGTTTTAGTATTAGGATTTATTTAATAGAGATGTTTTGACTTATTTAAAATCTGTTGGGAAATATATTTAAAATCTATATTCCCAAGTGAAAATTGATATCGCAACTGCTCGATATCAAGGTTGTTCAATATTAAAATTTAATGGAACTATTGTAACTGTATAATATATTTAAAACAAGGAATAACATCAGTGAAAATAATATTGGTTAACACAGGTATAGATTATTTTCTTTTTGATAGTGGTTTGAATATGCTTAAACTTTTTTTATCAATTTGCGAAAAAAAACGAAAAAATATTAAAATAATAGAGTATAATATATTCCAATTTATAGATCAATAAAACTCGTGGCAATTTTTGAATTTTTCTAAGTTTTTATACTTTTGGCAGATTTACAATTTTAGTTCGTTTCATGATTTTAATGTGTGAACGAATTGGTGTTTCAAGAATTGGAAGTTCCAATAATTTGGCTTCAGGCATAATGCCATCTGATGCCATCCATAATAGCATTTATACCTATTCACATTATAACAATTTTATAAGCTTTTGTAGGTAATGAGTTTAAATTCATAGTATTAAAAAAAAGTTCATTGACACGTCGTCATGCAGTCTATATGATCCGGCTGATCTTTATCAGAAACTGATCAGCAAGACCAATATAGTATTTTTTGAGCTTTTAAATTTTAAACCTAGTCTAGAATTTTTTGCGAAAACGTGAATGAAATATTTTGCAAATTTCTGTTATTTATAATGTAACGGCTCGGTGATTATTGCACACATAGATAAGGAAATTGCACATAACTAATCAACGACTAGTCTCCATCTATTTTCATCAAATGACTTTTGAAGTTTTAAAATCGGCGCCGTCGAAAACGTCAACGTAAGTTGAGATTTTGACCCACAACTACGCAAATGGAGAAAATATAAAATTATCAAATCGGTTTTGTTGGTAAAAATATAAAAAATTTCTATATTAAAAATATAAAAACTAATCAAATATAAATAAATTCATTTTATTTATTTCTTGTTCTAAAAATGTATTTTATTGAAGCGTGGTGGTTAACTGTAATCAGTAGCCACCTACAAAACATCAATGAACGTAGGAACGTAATGCTTAGGAATATTTCTAATTATAAACTTTGATAAAATTGTATAATTCAACTGCTTATAGCAAGCCTTTAATATTTTAGTTTGTTTTCCAGTTTCATCAACAATGTCAAAAATTGTTTTAGATATTCAATTACAAAGAAACGGCCCAGTCGATCTATATCAAAAACTATTTAACGCGATACCTAAGTAATATTTAAGGAACATGTTTACTGCCACGTATTTATATAATTTATGATTAAACTCTTTTTCGATAACTCAGGTTGTTGGGTTATAATTTAACTCTTGTAGCTGTGAACTGTATAAAACACTGATTTGTTTGTATATTATATATTTGTTGCAGTTTTTATTACAACCACTGATTTGTCTCTAAGTTCTAATTGAAGATGATATATTGATTTATTATTTATTGAACATGTTGTTGCGCGGAATTTACTTCTAGAAGTAGACAATTTGTTCCATTAAAACTTTCTGCTATCCAGGGATAGCAACCATCCCATGTAAAAGCTCAATGCCATTAAGATTGTTACTTTTATGAAACATTAAAACATTAAAACAGTTTTTAACATCCACACGAAAATAAGATACATTTTTTGAATAAGAAATGGATGAAACTAAATTATTTATATTAGTGATTGTTTATATTATATTAGTGTTAAACAAATTAAATTAATTGATACAATTAAAGATATTATGAGCATGATTGAAAGGCATGACTGAAACATTTTCTGCTAATTACAAAGAAACTAGGCTAGTCGTTGCACAAACCTGGTAAACACTAGACCAAATCGAGTTACATCGAATGGCTTTTAAATGCTTAAAATCGGTCCAACCATTTTTGAGAAAACGTCGACGTCGGAAATCGGCTCATATAAACACATAATTTTCCAAATTTGGTTTCATTAGATTCAGAATGGTTTGAAACGTAAACTTCTCCTTCGGGTAGTTAAAATTTACTATGATTTTCAAAAAGGCATTTAAAAAATTTCAAATTTCCGTATTTATTAATATTCTAAAGCACCCATTAATACTTCCATAACACATGTTTGCAGAAATAACAATCATCAGTGTTTAGGATTGAATCAATCTATCATTTCAAATACGCCGCGCATTTGCTGGTACGACTGCAGCGCCGCCGCAGCGAATCGAGTGTAGCGTCTATATTATGTTGTTTGTATACCTATGGTTTACATCATGTGAGTTTCAAAATTGCACAAATGTCAAAATGAATGACGTTTATTTGTGTCACAGTGACGCTTCAAATCATTGATTCATAGCTGCCAAAAAAAGATTCGAAACAGAATTCATTTTTGATAATACGTTTTTGTTCTAGTAATCAAAATTTAATTGTTTACTACACCGTACTTAACCACAAACAGTGCAAAGTTGATAATTATAACAAGTGTTTATGACCTAATACAAAGCAATTGAAATCGATTCGTAATTAACAAAACAAACAAAATTTCAATGATTGTTCACCCGGTGACCCAGTAACTTGTCTATCCCGGTATATCACTGTAATTCAAAAGCAGGGTCAGCAGACAAATGGAGTAATATTGCAATAACCATATTACATATATACGCAATGTTCTTTACTTTCACATTTTGTAATATGCCGCGGTTATTGCGAAAGACTCCGCTAACAGATCGCTCAGTTGTCTGATAGCCTCGAAGCTGGATGCATCGCGGATATTTCCAATATTATTCTCAAACATGTGATTAGTAGAAAATGATTAGTGTACCGGTGAATTGAAACAGTGAATTAAATGGATATCAAATTTTATTGCAGCAGTTTGCAATTTAGTATGTTTTATGGAGAGGATTTATTAAATTGAGAAAAATGGGAGCATTATCATCAATGTTTGTATCAATGACGGACATCGCAAATTCTGTAACGATAATATGCGTTTTGTTCAGTTTGTTTGCTATGGCACTACTTTTTATGAAGTAAGTTCACATTTCAATATATTAAATGAACTATATAACATTTAATATTTTTATCAATATTAAAAGAACTATTTGTGATCAATAAAATTATGATAATTAATCTGTCACGTTCATAATTATATCTTATGCTCATTAACAATTCATGTTCAATTCTTGATCCCTAAATTCTATGACATTCTATTTATCTTGAATATTTAAGTATTTTAATTATTTTACTCTATAATTAACTTCCCGTAGGGTAAGTTATTGTAATGGGCCGAAACCGAAACCGAAAATTGTCAGTATAAAAAATCAAGCTATTGATTATATTTTTTACTATAAATATGCAAGATAACTAGTGGGGTGCATGGCATCGTGCCTTAAAGCAAATTGCTGGAACTTCCCGTATCGTAATTAAAAATCTTGGTACGGAACCCAAAAAAAAATACACAAAATGTGTACACATTATTAAAATCTCTATAAAATATCTGATAATTTAATGTACATATGTCCAATAAACATTTTTGACCGCCAAATAACATTTTTTTAACTTATTTTTATTGAGAGTCTATAACCGCTGGACCTGTCTTCCCCAAAATTTAATCAGTTTTTCAT